GACAGCCAGGCAGGAAGATGCAATTTGTTGCATCTTCCTCCAAGACCGGCGTGCCGGAGCGCAGGGGCTCGGGAGGTCACTGGCAGCGGGGAAATCCTCCCATCTGCTGGCAGGGAGACCTCGCTGCCCGTGGTGACGGGTGTCCTCCGCTTTCTGGCCCCATCAGGCCAGACCTCTGCAGGCTCCCGGCTCCCACGGTTGTCGGTGCGGAGCGGGAACAAGAGCTGCACCCCAGCGGGACGTCAGCGCTGCCGAAAGCGGGGGCTCCAGCTCCCTGTGCCCACTGGCCCCCACCTCTGGCACGGAGTCTGGGATGGGGTGCTCACCGCCCCCCCGGGGTCACCTCTGCAGCAAGGGCAGCCCACCACAGACACCCCACCCTGCAGCCACGCGGACGGCGGTCCCCTCCTGACATTCGCAAAACCCGCAACTGAGCACAAGGGTTTGTGGGGTGGAGGAGAGGGGAACGGAGAGGGAAAATAACCAGGAAATGTCACCGGAGTATTTTAAAACACTTTGTGCATATTAAGCTCACCCTGCTCTACAACCTTCCAGTACAACAGCCAAATTCCAGCTCCCCGGTGGCTTTTGCCCGTGACCCTCACGCAGTAAAACAAAACAGGAAAATACGTTTGCGGAGTCAGGAGAACGCACCGGCGGGCGCGGGGCAGACCTGGAGCGGCGTCAGTGTCCCAAGGCAGAGCAGCACCCACGGAGCAGCACCCGCCCTGCACCCCAGGGAGCACAGCCGACCTCGCCAGGGGGGGAAGCGGCGCAGGGGCCACGTCCACGCAGCACCGAGTGCCCGTGCCTTGCTTCCTCTCACGCTCCTGTTCGAGGAAACCTCAATAGCACGTTAAGGACTGTAATGGCATTAGCAACTTTCACAACGCATGATACAGATTTCCGTTAATCAGGATGGTGATATGGCACAAAATAAACATGTTAGCAACGTTCCACTGTGCATTTCCTTTGATAGAGAATGGATTTTCCCTCTAGAAAGGCACAACTGCTATCAAACTTCCAGAAATAAACAGTTTAGAAGAAAGATAAAACTGCTTTTGCACATTTGCAAACCTACGTGTGGTCCTATCTCATAATTCTCAGATTCTTCAGAGTAGATCTATAAATACCTATAGGCTTTGCTTTGTCCTGGACTCTCTCATCTTTCTCCAGCAAGTTCATTCAATTTCAGCCACAACAAATGAATCCAGCAGATCCACAGATGCTGCTGTGAGAACTCAGAAGAGCATTGATCCCATGGACTGTTTTCTCAGCTAGAGAAGAAAACGGCCAATTACAGCAGAGAACAGCAGTCAAACGTACGTAGAATAAAATGGAGTTTCTTCTGTGTTAATTACTTCCCGTGCCCGATTTTCCCTCGCTTTTAGAGAGGGAACGACAATATCATAAGCACCATAATCAAAGGTCCTGTTCAAACGCCCCCCTCGGAATCCTCCATATAATGGTAATTTAAAAGTCTCTTTTTCACTGAAACAGTAACTCTCAACAAGTCCTGGAAATACAGTAAAGCTTCTTGGGCTCCTTTGACACGTACGCCAGCCGCAGAGAGAACTGCCGGGAGGGAGGCACTAGCAACGCGTTAGGGTTTTGTCATGGAAAACCAGTTACCTGCGGTCATGGATGTGCAGGAAGGTTTAACAAGTGAGATCCGGGGAGTATAGATACTTTACCGCTTACGTTATTTTCATTTTGCCTCCTCTGCTATCGAATACCTTCCTGGTATCGAGGACATTAAATCAAATGGCCAAAACCCAACGATGACTTCAGTTATTTACAGGACTGGGAGCCCACATAGCAAACTCCTCGGAATAATACTAATCTAAGATGAAAGCTCTATTTGTAAGAGGGATTCAGTTGGATATTTTCAAGCATTCATTATAACTGATCCAAAACATCTGGGAAGCTTCCTGCCAAGGCCACTAATCTCAGTGCAGTTATGACTAAAGTAACTAAAAAAAAAGCTACTTTCAAATGGCGAGGAGCAGGCAAGTAAGTACCGCGGTGCATAAATGCCAATAAATAAGCGCCGCTAGGTAAGGTCACGTTGCAACCCCCGATCCCGGAGCGTATCTCTAGACCAGGTAGCTTACGGGCAGTCCGTCTTTCGGGAATCTCCCTCCCAGGTAGGCAGGACAAGAACCGCACAGCACAGCTGGCTGTCCTCAGCCAGCTTCTTAAGTGGAAAACATGAGATTTGGGGGAGCGGAAAGCGTTGCCACAAGCAGCACAGGAAACAAGCGATCCCTGGAGGAATTTAGTTTGGGAACCACCAGGTTATAACTCCCCCCTGGATACAAAACGTGCCAGGCTGCCACACAACTCGCTCTGGAAGCTTATAAACAGGGCTACATTCTTTTCTGGCTGCCAAAAGGACTTAAATATTTTAGAACATTGCTGGAAAAGAGGGAAACAAATGTGCAACAACCCTAAGTCGTTAATCTACCAATAGTAATTTGATTTTTTTGAAGGATATATATAATTGCCCAAACAGAATAATTACTTTCCTGAACCTGTTTTGAAATTTGGGACCTCAGACAGCATTCGTACACATCCCTGTGAAACCCATCCTGAGAGGGGAGAGGAGGGAGGGGGTTTGCATCTGTAGAAGCCCCCTTAAAAGCCACAGCAACACCTCTGGCAACCTGAGCCTCTTACAACCGGCAGGACTGATCAGGAGCTGGGGCTAGGTGACTAACAGCTTTTATAACAAACAAATGAATTTTACGATCTTATAATGATTTCACTGAGCGCTGCCAATCCCAGTTATGGATCGAGAAGATTCATCGTATCTCTGTGGGTTGCAATGATGCCAGTGATACTAAGAAATTTCTAAGTATTTCCAGATTTTCTTCACTCCACCCTGTGACGACGGCAAAGGAGCACATTAGGAAAAAGCCTTCAGCTACAGAAATGGTTAAAAACCTCCAAAGAATTGTACAGGACAGTGATTTTCATCTGACAGAGTCATAGAACAAGGTATTCTTTTAAAACCCGCTCCATTTTCTTGACACATTGAAATAATTCCAAGTAGTTTTAAAACATAAACCAATTGAAGTTTTGCAACTTAGAAAAATCCCGCATACTGATTTTTTTTTTTTTAAAAAACATGTTATGGTAAAGTTGATATTCCAGAAAAACTACCAGACACAAAACTTTCCTAAAAGTATCAGTGATTGAAGTAAAAACACCATTAATAGTTAATGGCATTAATTCTCTTCTCTGTATTCAATCTTCCAGCTGCGAGTTCAACAAACGCTTCGGTTTAACGTGATCAGCGTCTCTTCAACCATACTAATACTTGAAGAAAATGATGATTTTTTCATTGCGATGGAAAAAACCAGCCAGCAAAACACTTTCTTTTTGTTACTTTATGACGACTGAAAAAAGCAGAGAGATTTAAGCCAGCAGTATGGAGATTTGTGAATCTGGAGAGCCACAAGCCAGGTATTTTTAGCAGACAGCCAACGACCACAGAATTTACTTCCATCTTGTTGCACTGGCAGGTTTGGCGAGGCAGGAAGCTTCTGGTTGGTAGTATCTCAGACGTTTGTGTTTTCAAATGCCTCTGCCGCTAGGCCCTCCTGACATGAGGATTAAGGCATGAGTAAGACAAAAAAATACTATCAATGAAAAATGTCAAATGCGGGCGTAAGTTCAGAAGCAAACATAACCCATCTGCCTTCCAGAGTTGCTGAGCAGCCCTAGCACCACAGTGCCATGACGTGGCACCCGCAAAACATATTTCACATTAAAGTTTGACTTTGACAAGCATGTGCTGATGAGGAACTGCCTGTTCTCGAGACTGATGTAGTTTGTGAACGTGATCTAGTTTGGCTCAGGTGGAAACGAAGCACGCGTGTGCAGGGGCAACTTGGTATCCTGACGTCTATTGCAAACCACAAACCCGACGTCCTTAGCTGGCTTGCCTTTCTGTGCTGCAGAACTGAAAAAGTGGGTGTTCTCAGCTCCCGGCTGCCCTAGGGACAACTGCTTTGGGGTGTGAACGAAGACATCATTTTAGTTGCTGGCTGCAAGTGCCCACATCAGATCACCTCTTTTTAAAACACTCAGTGGATCCTCATGCAGAATTTTCAGGGCACCCTGACTTTCCACTGCTCAGCGACTTGATGAGGATGCACATCTGCCTCCATAGGAAAGCAGCTCCTTTAAAGACACAGAAGTCTAAACATGTAAAACTTGAGCAACTTGTTTCTAAACGTTAATTATCTACCTAGATAATTCTAGAGATTTAATTATCCGTTAGTCATACAGCATCCCAAATCAGAATCCTCCCTTCAAAACCAGACACAACATTTGCTTCAAGTCTACTAGCATTTCCTTCGTTAGTCTTGAGCCCAGAACTGATTGGTGATACGTTTTAGAAACGGTAACAGGATCCTAAACATCAAGCACATAGTGGAAACACTCTCTGATAAATTTCATAATTTCTCATTTTAAAACGCTGATCCGTTAGAAACGAAACACTTCTAATCCAGTCATAATCTTAGAAGTACTTCCACGTTAGAGATCTTGCCCTATTGAACTTGGTTTTATTGTATCCAATCTACTTGCAAATGATGCTTGCTCTTGTAAACAGGTTTCTGTCAATCTTTGTATAAAAGAATCATGGCTAACAGCTTGTTAAGCTGAGTGAGATCAGTAGGTTGGCTTCCAATGTCAATGAAAACTAAGCCAAAAGAATGAAAATAAAGCTTTCCACAAGGATTTTCGTGTTGTGTTTATATAAAAATACTTCCTTTAAACAATTGTTAAGGGGTAAACTCATTTAAAAATGATAGTTTGGAACCAGCTATGTTGAAATGCAAACAAGCACATAAAAATCACTAACTTTCACTGGATTAGCCTGGGAAAACTGATTTCTTATAAAATAAATTACCTACTACGGACGGTACCACCTAAAAGAAATGCAAGAATCGGGAAGAAAGTATAAAGACCACTCAAAACAATACCAAACATTCTAGTGCATATTTACTAGATATATTATCTATGAAATAGTTTAATATTTCAATAGTCATATTACAAGTTTCTAATAAAATAACCAACTTCAACAGGATTGATTCTGTTCTTTGCAGAGACAAGTGCTGCTACAGTTACACAGAAATGTAAAGATTCACTGAAAACCTAAGGCTGTAACAGGCATCTGCTACAGAAGTGACAATTTCAGCTTTCGTCAGCAGAATCTACCGCACACAACACCACTCCTCGTCGCTAACAGTGGTTTGCAAGTGTTATCAACCAAACAGCTTAAAGAGGCCAAAAGGCGATTGCAGAGCTTCATCTTGGCCCCCATTTGATGTCTTTTACACCATGAAATTGCTTTTTCAAAGCATGGTTGTCCGCCCACTCAGCATTTAGAAATGAGTCGTCGTCATCCTCTTCTAGTTTCTGTAAACAGAACCGACAGGTTAAGAAGGCAGTAATGAATGTAGCCCGCGGTCAGTGTCTACCACAGCACCGCTCACATGCAGCAAGACAACACCGCTACCTTAAGTTCCTCCTGCTTTCTGTAGTAATACAGCATCATCTGTTTTTGCTCTTCATGACTAATCAGAGGTTCACGCCCTGGAGCTCCTTGTCCTTTCTGAAAGAGAAATCGTAAATTTTATTTATGACGGCATTTGCGATACAAAAGAGAAGCTGCTATGCAAAGATAGCAAAGTCTTTCTTCAGACAGTAGGATTTCTCAAACTTAATAAGCCCCTCAGGACAGGAAAATAAATGTTGAGAAATTTCTGCTGCATTCAAGAGAGAATTATTTTTTCATCTCAGCATCTAAATCATGCTGTCAATTTTGTGGACATCAATGGAAGCTGCAAACAGGATTGAGTCTATTTTACTTAAACTTCCGCTCTAAAAGACATAATAAAACTCTCTGCTTTAAGGCCGTTCTAGATGTCTCAGGATAGGCCCATCCGTCTTTAGCTCCCCTGCTAATACAGACTCAAGATGGCATATGACTTAGTAAAGCAGGGAAGGAAGGCAGTTACAAAACACTACAAATAAAAGAATTTTTTTTTCCAGGCAACTGTCCTTGCAGAAGAAACGATGCGCACAGCAGAAAATAGCTGATGACGGCTATTGTCAATGATAGCAAACAGAACAGTTTGAATGGAGATGGTGAATCCTCTCTGGAACAAAAAGGGTCTGAGCTGGTTTAAATTAGCTCTCCAACCCAAGAATGCAGGCACCCCTTGTCAGATAGAAAACTGCCGTATTACTTCGCAATCTCTGAAGAGGTCCATCAACTAATTAAACAGTAAGGAAACTTTCCTGGGAACCTACACTTCAATGGCTGTTGAGTTGTCACACAATTTTTCAGTCACCCTGATAGGAAAGAGAAAGCAATTCTGGTCTTCTAAATGACAAACACATAAATCACTTGACTTATCTTTGAGGAACTCTATTGCAGACACCTGCAGATAACAACATCTGCCATAAACATTAATGCTTTCTGTGGCAGAGAAGCTCTCACTGACATGGAAGTGAAATGCAGCTCCAGAATAATTCTGAGCTATGGATAAGTACTCTGAGACATTTGACATTCACAAAAGCACCCCCTGAAGGTGTTATTTTATATACACACACACACATATATACACACATACAAACACACACAAACAGGGTGAGCATCTTCTGACAAAGCTCTGAAAGTGAATTGAAACACCATTCTTCCCTTGAGTATGGCACTCTCACCAGAGATGAACAGAACTGCGCAGTTAGTACAAAATCACTTTGTCCAAAAAAATAATGAACAGTCCCAGTAGCTTGGTACTAATTCTGATATTGCAAGAACATGACCATTGCGTCAGACACCAGTATGCACTTAATGACTGGCTTTTGCTGAAGCATCAGGTCTATAAAACTGAGGAGCAGCAGGAGATCTTTGCCTCATTTTAGCTCATTACTCCAGAGGATGACTCAGACCTGTGTTCACAATTAATAGAGAAGGCCTCATCTGCTTCACCGCATCTGACAACTGGAAAGTCTCATTCCTTTAAAAAAATTTCAGCTGGGAGCTTTAGGTGAGCTGGCGCCGACAGCGCAACTGGGTGACGCAGGCCCAGCAGCTTGTTCTTCCTTCTAGCACGCGGCGAGTTCTCACTGAACACTTTGGGAGAGCGTAAGTTCAGGCTCCTCCACAACCCGTGTCCTCTCAAAGAAGACGCATGTCCACATTTCCAAGGCAACTGAGACAGTTTGAGGACCTGCCGTCAAGAAACTCAGGACACCGCAGGCAGGAAATTACTGAGTTACACTGTCTTTCAGACACAGAACAGACTGAAACGGGGATGAGAGGTATCCACACCACACATGCACAAAACATTGAAACTGTTTTTTAAAGGCCAGGATACGGAGACAAAAACATTCACAAGTATAATTAGAAAAACTGGGCAGACTGAATGACTGGGACTGTTCAGTGCTCTGCACTGAGATGGAACTGAGAGCCAACTGAGGGTTTTTTAAGCTTTTCAGTTTGTATTTAATCTATTTTTAAATACCTCTTTGCTGTACTTTAGAAAAGTGCTATGGAGCAAGTAATAGCAACTACAGTATTTAACTGACAGGCAAAGGAATTACTAAAGAAAAACTAAAATATAATAAATTAAAACCTTAAAATAGATGTACAGTTTTAAGACACTCAAGCCAGAACTAATCTACTGCATTTTATACACCTACAGACAATTCACTTCCACGGAGAATTAGACAGCCAAAGGTGAATAACTTTTAAAGAAATCTCCTGGCGATACTCACTTTCTGTATCTTGACAATGATAGTTGTTTTCTCATTTTTGCCTACATAGTCAGAGAGCAACTTTGTTTCTTTCAACTCCTTTCCTGCCCACCATAATTGTGCTTCGGATTCTTCTATAACTTCAAGCCCAGCCTGTGACAAATAAACAAACAAGGTGAAGTGTTGGGGGGGTGTTGTTTTTTGCTTTTTTCCAAAACCAGAAAAATTTTCTGGGCAAATCTTTCTGGAATTCCTAACAGAAAGGCCAGTGTAATTTTACACTATACTTCTGCTACATCTTTCTCCTTCTACTAATCTACAGCATTTTCATTCATATTCCATTCACTCTTGATCTAACGTAAACACTGGGCAATAAATTCTCGATCCTGGCATTAGAAAGAAATGACAAGCTATTTCAAATGAGTCCCAGACCTACCTGAACTTTGTATGTAACACTTGAAATACACTTCATTCATCTTATTTCTAGTTGAGCTATTGCTGTGCTTTTACATAAACTATTAAACAAAGTTTGTCATGCAAATGAAAACAACCTTCATGGATAAAATGTAGGACAGCACAGCACGTATTTCACCCAGGCACTATATATAATCCAAATACATTACGGCATACATGAGTTCCCGACAAGTCTTCTTTATCTTCAAACTCCATCCTAACTGGATCATGCGGAGGCAATCCCATTGGATACACAATCATCACAGCCCCTCGAAGCTGGTCCAATGCATCTTTCACCATCTCCATATTAACACACACATTGGCCTGAACTTGTTTCTGAAATACAGGCAGGGATCATTGGTAACTTAAAAAAACATGAGGAAAGACTTTGCTTTGTAGTCAGTTCAAAGGTTCCGCAGTGGGATATTTGAGCAAAGCTAACCGGCTGCACAAAGTTATTAGGAGCACAGATTTTCTCGTTTGAATATCGACTTCTGAATATATCACTACACTTTTGCCCCCTCCATTCAGCTTGCTTACACTGGGGGAAAAAAAGAAAAAAACCAAAAGAAAAAAAAGATTGTGTAGGAGGCATTTAGTAACAAATGTCTGTGGGATACAGGCATTCAAGTAAGTACGCGTATGACCACAGAAACTGGATGGGGAGTCTTTTGTTCCAAGTACTTGTGATTCATGAACAAGATTCAAAACAGTAGAATTCATTTGAGGGCTAGAGAAGGGGCCTAAAACTTGAGGAAAAAAATAGAGCACATGTGAGCAGAAGAGAAAAGCTTGGCAGATTGCACGGCTTATGCAGAGATCTGTAAGATCAAATACTTGAAATCATTCCAAACCCTACTGCAACGGACAGAGGAAAAACAAGACACATCTGGAAGAGAATAAAAAGTTTTTGCTTATGGATTTAACAGTTCCAATATTTTAAGTAACAAGGTTGATAAAGAAGAGAGCAAGAGAACGTTGCCTCCTTGTGGACATTCTTAAACTAGTTAACTGGCAAGTACAATTGGTTTCTCAATCTCAGATGATCAACCTTTTTTTTTTTAAAAAAAACACAGGCAAATTTCTTCATTTTCATAGTTATAAAGTGATGAACCTAACAAACCACTTAACAAACTATCCTTAACTTCATTCACCAGTGAATGGCAGTAATTTCTGGAGTAAGTCAGCATGCAGTGCGGCAATTTTGCCACTTCTTACTGTAAATGACAACACAGCATACAGCTGGAAGTTTCACCCAGGAAGACCTGCAGGTCGGAGACCAGATCTGCAGATATTTTCGACTCAAGAAGTAAAACTACATCATATTAATTTCCTCCCTGTTTAGAAATAGAGTTGATGAGATGCAATCCAACAGAAAAAAAAAGTCCATCTGGAGAAAATCTTTATAGTCCAGAAGCTTTAATCTGAAACACCTCTCATTTTGCGTAGATTTTGCTATGACTCAGAACAGTTTGGCTGAAATCCTGCCTCTAATTCAGGAAAGGTTTGCTGCAGCTCAGCGCACTGGAAGCACTGCCAGGCAACAGGGCAGCTCCTCTGCTTGCCTCCACGAGGCCTTTGGAAACACTCACTCTAGACGACTGATACGACACTGTTGTTATCAGCAATGAAACAGCCAAGAAGGCCAATTCAAGTGCACAGGCAACACCAAAAATTCAGTAACGTTATCTATTTGCACAACTGGTTTAAAGCTGTTTTAAAGTTCCACACATACTAATTCCCAGAATTGTAGGGGTGGGGAGAAGAAAATTACTTGCAGACGTTTACAAAAATGCAATCTGATAACAAATATTACTTAATTTGTATTTCAAAGTCGTATGAAAGCTGAGACACAATACAGAGCATCTACAGATTTGGTAAAGTGACGCTGAATAATTGAGACCATACTCCCATCAGGGCATACCCTCAGACTTATCTTTAAACACACAAACTCGTTGGGACTGAGCATGAGTCCAAGTGCTTGTAAAACCAAGGGCTAATCTAAGAGATTAGAACACAGTTTTCAATTAATTATACATAAAACTCAAAAGGCTATGTTAATGAGCAAAAGGTATTTTACGCCAGGAACATCACAGAATGCAGTTAATTTTTCACCAGAAAACACGACAAGCATTCGCCTAAAGAATACATCAATAGCAAATTAAGAGCGTGTGGATAAAATTAAATGCGATTTAATCATTCATTGTGGTCTCGGCTGCCAGCATTCACTTGGAGTTTAATATCTGATTCTTTAACTTGTTGAACCAGCTTGGCAAAAGCCATTAAGAAAATCATTAACAGAAATGTCAGTTTTTATTAGACCGTTCACATCACTTCATGATATTACTTAAAAAGTGTTAGCCCTTGCACTGGAAGCAGTCTGTTTTTTCTTAAGCTGCCTAACTACATAGCACCTGTTAAGAAAGTCCCACATACCACATGCTACTTCAGGAAACTTACCCTAGAGATTAATGCCTTGGCTTCCTCTATTGTCTTCTTTATAACTTGCTGCATTTTTTCATTTGGAGCTAAAAAGAAGAGACACACATTTAATAGTCTACACTTACTATAAAGAAACCAAGCAAACAACTTGTCCAGGTTATTCTCTACTGTAAGCAAATGAAACGTTGTTAAATCACAAAGCAAGAGAGACACTACTAAGTTGCAGTCTATTTACCAGTTTGCTACTTCATTGCCATATTTCTTACTAACTTAAGAAACAGAACACTATTTCTCCTGGGAGAGCCAGACTTACTTTTCTACGAAGACATTTGATTGGTGTTTGGAACTTCACCTGGGACAAAAATATTGAGCAGAAAGCAACAGCCATAATCTCATCCTCACCACAACCAAAACTAATGCTCTCTTTCCCACTTACGGCTATTGTGGGCTGTGCTGGCAGACATGCATAAAAGGGGACAAGAGCTTGGAGTTTTCCGACTCTTTTCCAATTAAAATTTCAATCTAACAGCAAATGCAGTTTTGCAAATACAATGTGCATTTCATTTTATAGTTACCTATTTTAACTGTTATAAAAAGCCTCTCCTCAAAAACAAAAACCCAATTAAATCATACTCATTCACAGCTGAACATTTAAATGCATCGTTTGATGGTATTTAGTTTGGCCCACGTTTACATGCTGTTCAATATTCTAATTTTGTTAATATTACAAAGCTCTCCTCCCACTAACAAATACATCCCCGAGGACAACTACAAGTGGTACTCTCCTTACGTTAACCTTGCTTGCAAATTTCTACCGTAAGGCCCAACACTGCTCGCAACCATGCCAAACAAGACAGGCTTTGTCCACGTGCCTACGTACGAGACACTCAGCTATTTCTGAGAACACAGTTAGGAGGGAAAACATTTCACTATAATATAAGCTCTTAATCAAGTTCAGCAAAGGCTTAAATTTGATCAGGCAATGTGTTGTGTTAGAAGAATTATTTTCCCCTAAATAAGACACTCGGAGTAAGCTGTTTGCGTATGACAAGTTAAGACTAAGTTATTCAAAGATTCCTCCTTAACTGAGCCGCCCTTCAGCCAACGTCTGAAGGGCTGCTGCCCTGACAGGGCCGTTGTGGTGTCAGGAGTACAGGGACAGACAGCAAGACGACAATCGTGGTCTCTTCTGTGCAATCAGTCCTCACGCTCTCGACTCTAAAGTGGTGCTCGATACACATACCAAGTGCTAAGGCAAAACCACTTGGCTGGAGTTGCAGAAGGAAAAAGTGACAGGAGTGAGTTCAGTAAGTCTGAGTCACAGCGAATGAGAAAAAAGGAGAAATCTTAGAAAAACCACCTGTTAACGTATCTTGGAGCCTCTGGAGAAAAATAGCACACCAGTATGCATTTATGAATGGAGAGAATAAACTAATGTGAGACAGTCAAGCTCGCTTCTGATAATTGTTTACTTATCTTGGGAGTTTACTTCCAAGTACTACAGTTGCAAAGTTAAATAACATATGTGCTGAAGAGATATACTACTACTTAGGCTTTTAAATCAACATTACACCAGGCCCTAATCCAAGACAGAAGACTTACATATGTAACTGATATTTTAGCTGATCTGTTGTGAAAGCAGGCTCTTGAAATAGCTGCTACTTAACAAACCTATGACTACCTTTAATATAGTTTATGTATAGGATTATTTTTATAATTAGCAAATAAACATGAGCCCGCTAGCATGCTGGCCTGAAATATGTATACTTGAGAGCTACTCTTTTTTTTTTTCATCTTCCAGGACACTGAGGTAAAAGTGAAAGGTCCAGAATTATGGTTTTCATGTACCTCATTATATTATAGATTATCTGTGTCTGCAGGGAAAGAAGCATTTATGATTGATTTACCATGTCCATTTCTTCGCCCAATTTCATCCTTCTTGAAGACACTTCCACCACTTGGTACGCACTTCTCTGCCCACTCATCCTTCAACTTCAGTTCTTCGATTTGCTCATCTGTCAGTCCTTGCATATTGTAAGGCAAGAAAACACCATGCTCTGCCAGCTCCTCCATCTCTTTAAAGTGTTTAGAGAACAAGATTAAAAATCCGTGTTATTGAGAACATATCATTTACAAAAGCCTTTCACATTATGTACACACAGGCAAAACTTACTCCTAGCCTTCAGTTTCTAAAGAGCTAAGTATATGGAATAAATAATAAGGTATATATATACACACAAATATATAGCTATATGTGCTGTAATTACATGATAATTCATACATTTCACATACATATGAAACAATGTAACAAATGACACAGTGCAGGTATGCAAACCAAGACAATGCTTGCTTGCCATAAACTTTTTCTTTTTGGTATTTCCTTAATGAGCTTTAGCTGACTGCATGTTCCTTTTTCGAAGTACTTTTGGGAAAGGAACTCTTTCGAAATGGAAAAACATTTTACTGTTATGCAGTAATGAATTTCTCTGCAGTTCAGAAAATACGTAACTGGACTACCTGTAGCTTTGTCCATACGACATCCAACCCAAGGGATTTTTACAATAATTTATGTCTAATCAAGAAACAACAGTACAGGGTAATTCTAGCTGAGACAACAGAGAGGTGTAAACGCTGGTCAGCAATGCACAGTCTCACGCAGCGAGAGCAGACGGTGTGTGGATGCAGTTTCCTAACCCTTTTGTCTAGCCTATTGCATCTGATCCATGGCCTGCAAGCTACACTCACCACTTTCCCCCAGAACAACTTATCCAGCTGCCAGCCCACTTCACGGCACAAAAAAAAGCCTCTTTACCATCGCCATATTAATTACAGCCTATCCATCTCACAACAGACACACCAGAAGCCCCAAGAAACGGCAATTCTGTTCCCGTGGCTGGGAATAAAGGCACGCACATGAAAACGTAAAGGCTAAGCCTAAATTAGCGAGTACTGTGGAGCAACAGCGGCAGATCTGTAGAAAGAGCGAGTGCTAAAAATACAGTAACCACAGTGTCTGGGTTTTCCAATTTTTTTATTTCAGATCAGCCTCAGTATGGCCTCATACACTACACACATACTTGAGGCTGGAGCACATCAGCTGTAGACGGACCGCGCCCTTCAGGTCACTCTCATCTGAAGGGAATCCCCGTTCGTGCGTTCCTAGGCTGATCCACAAAGCAAACCAAAGCACGGTCGGCCGGGACAAACAGTAAATACTTTTCAAAAGCCGACTCCTGAATTGAACTAAAGCACTAATTTAGACACATCCAGTGACTCTCCATCACACGGCAAGCGGACGCCTCGCACCACTCATGCCCTAGGCAACACGAGAATTTCATTCACATATGGGGTACACCTCTGGTCACAAAGGATTTATGCAGCCCCTATGGGACGCGACATGCTGCAGTTCAGTCACGCGACAGATGAATTTTCAGCCACGTACAGCGGGAAGCTCTGAGCTCCGATCTGTCTCCAAAAACAGAAGGACTGCTAGAATACCAGAAAGTGGGAACTTACACATGGTTTGGCAACTTTGGTGGGGCTTCATTGTTCTCTTAAATTTAGGGGAGGATGGCTTGCCTGCTACTAAGCTGTCATTTGAGAGGTATTTCTTAGCTTCTGCCGGCGTAGAGCTCCTGCGAGGCTGCAGCCAAGTAACCTCCTAGCGCCGCCCCCCAGCT